AGCATATAAATTTCAAGGGCCCCCCGGCTTCGGGACTCGACCTCAGTACCCGTCCACAGGTGGACCTGTGGACCTCCGGGGCCGAATGAAAATTACATAATCTTCCAATGAGTCATGGATTCTTTCACGTGAGCGGTGTCCTCGGCGGTGGCTAATTATGCCATTGTCTCTGATAGAGATCTAGATTGATTCATCTAGGCTTATTGTTGCCTGTGCTATTGTGCTATTGTGCTATTGTATTTTGCTCATTGAGCAATCACCATGTTCCCACTTGTCCTAGAAAAATTCTTTTAGTCTCTCACTTCTCTTCACATACTACAGTCTTTATTTGGACAACTTTCACAATGTCTACAAACGAGGAGGCCAGTCGCCTGCGCGACCTTCAAGCAGATGTTCGGGATCAGGACGATCTCGAAAGAGATATTACTCGCCAGGTATGATTGACTTCTCACTTAAATATTACTCTGGGCTCACATCTCTCTTATTTTTTAGGCCGATAAAGCTCTGGCCGATAAAGCGGAGGAGAATGATATCAAGCGGCTTGAGAAAGCCCTTGTGGATCGGGAGTAAGAGCACCTGCCCTGATATTTGATGGAATTACTAACTTAATCCAAAGACGGGTCGATTCGCAAGTCCGGCAAGCGCAGCAGCGCCTGACACAGCCTGTCGGGGCTGCCACTCGGCATCGGGTCGAGAATGAGCTGAAAAGGCTGCAGGCGCGCAAGGCCGATCTTGGGAAAGACCTGAAGGATATTCAGCAGCGCATTGACCAGAGGCGCGAATCGCAGGGCAATTCGGCGGTGGCGCACGGGTCGGAGCGACAGCCGAATGAATCCCGCCGCGACTATCTCTTGCGAACCGGAAAGATCACCCCGTTCACATTGATGCAAGAGGGCCATAGAGATGGACCACTTGCTAATCTTCACGATGCACTTGTCGATACCGAGGAACAACAGCAAGAGGAGGAGGAGCGCGAACAAGCCAAACATGAGCCAACTGCATCCCACCGGGACCTTGCACGCCCAGACTTCGACTTTTCCGAGAGTAGGGAAATCAAGACCAAACGGAGGAAAGTGGCTAGTCGCATTTCCCCTGGGGAGGATTCTTCGGCAAGTTACGTTGCCTCTGAAGCTGACGCTACATCCGAGGATGAAGAGTTCATGCCTGATACTCTCCCTGAGGCAAAGCCAAGCCGTAAGCGCAAACAAGAAAAAGCGACTACTGAGCTTGAAGATCTAAGTGGGCTCGATGATGGAAACGAGACATTATATCAGTCTCGCGTCCAGGAATGGATCAGTCGACGAAGCTCTGCTCGACGACACGCTGATAGTCATTCTGTCGAGGCCGAGCAGGATGGAGAAGAGGAATGGCTGAAGCCACATCCCACTGAACCACCCATGGAGCTTGACAATGGACTGCGCGTCCCCGGAGATATCAGCCGCTTCCTATTTCCCTACCAGAAAACTGGAGTTCAATGGCTGTGGGAGTTGCATCAGAAAACTGTCGGTGGAATCATCGGAGATGAGATGGGGCTGGGGAAAACCATCCAGACCATTTCTTATCTTGCGGCATTGCATCATAGTAAGAAGCTCACCAAACCTGCTATCATTGTTTGCCCTGCAACTCTCATGAAACAATGGGTCAACGAGTTTCATCGCTGGTGGCCACCCTTCCGTGTTTCCATCCTACACTCATCAGGCAGTGGAATGATGAATCTTGGCAAGGAAAGCAGTCGGGAAAATGCGCTTTCATCAGAAATGATGGGCCGCCACAGCTCTCGTCACCTATCTGCTGGTCAGAAGGCGGCTAAGAAGATCATTAAGCGTGTCACCGAGGAGGGCCATGTCCTCGTGACTACATACTCCGGTCTGCAGACTTATGCAGATGCTCTTGTTGATGTTGAGTGGGGCTGCGCCATCCTTGACGAAGGTCATAAAATCCGAAATCCAGATGCCGGTATCACCTTCAGCTGCAAGGAACTCCGCACTCCACATCGCATCATTCTTTCGGGAACCCCAATGCAGAATAGCCTGGTGGATCTCTGGTCCCTATTTGACTTTGTGTTTCCAATGCGCCTGGGGAACCTCGTCACATTCAAAAACCAGTTCGAGATTCCCATCCGTCAGGGTGGGTATGCATCTGCAACAAACCTTCAAGTGCAGACTGCTGCGAAATGCGCAGAAACTCTCAAAGATGCCATCAGCCCATATCTGCTCCAGCGGTTCAAGGCTGATGTCACATCTGATCTGCCTCTGAAAAGTGAACAGGTCATTTTCTGCAAATTGACCCAACTCCAGCGAACGATCTACAAGAGATTCCTTAGCTCAGATGACATGAAGTCCATTATACGAGGGAAAAGAAACTCTTTGTATGGCATTGACATCCTGCGCAAGATCAGCAACCATCCGGACTTGGCAGACCACGCCTTGCGTTCTCAAGAGGCGGACTACGGTGATGCAGAGCGGTCTGGCAAGATGAAAGTTCTGAAAGGGTTGCTTGAGGTCTGGAGAGATACTGGCCACAAGACCCTTCTTTTCACCCAAGGCCGTCTGATGCTAGATATCATTGAAAAATTCCTTGGGACACTGGGTGGGTTCAATTACCGTCGAATGGACGGTACTACTCCGATCAAGGAGCGCCAGAACCTAGTTGATGAATTCAACAAGGACCCGAATATCCACGTTTTCTTACTCACCACCCGTGTGGGCGGGATCGGAGTGAATCTGACAGGTGCTGACCGTGTCATTATCTACGATCCCGACTGGAACCCATCGACCGACTTGCAGGCGCGAGAGCGTGCATGGCGTCTGGGCCAAAAGCGTGATGTCACTATTTTCCGCTTGATGACAAAGGGCACTATCGAAGAGAAGATCTATCATCGCCAGATCTTCAAGCAATTCTTGACTAACAAAATCACCCGTGATCCTCATCAACGAGAAGGTTTCCAGTTGAGTGATCTGTATGATCTGTTCACCCTGACTGATGAAAATGACGACGAGTTGGAGACGACCAAACTCTTCAAGAATGCCGAAGTCACGTATCAGGAAGAGAAAGCTACCCATGGCAGCAAGAATAAGCCTGCCCCAACTCTCAAGGAAGAAAACATCAACGACATCCATGGTATTGCCAAGGTTGAAGAGTTCCAGAATGCCGACGAAGAGGAGAAGAACGCCAAAACTTCCGAAGACCGCATTATGCATGGCATCTTTGCTCGTTCCGGCGTCCACTCTGCCGTCCAGCATGACCACATCGTAAACGGCAAACGGGTGGTTCGCGCAGACCCTAAGTTGATCGAAGCCGAAGCTCGCCGCGTTGCCAACGAAGCCGCCGAAGAGCTCCGCAAAGCTGAAGAAACTGCCCGGGCACTCCCCATCGGACTTCCCACCTGGACAGGCCGTTTTGGGATGGGGGGCCGTGATGACCCACGGACTGGTGGTAGCTCGGCTCGCCCTTCTGGGGCAGGACCTTCGTCCTCGGACTTGTTGGTTAGACTCAACCCAGCAGCTGCCGCAGCTGCTGGACAGAGAAGTGCTTCCGATAGTCCATCGGGGCGTATGCCCCGTGGCAAAGACTTCATCCCCATGATCCGTGACTACCTTGCCTCTCAGCGTGGGCCGACTCTGTCACAGTCGATTGTTCATCATTTCAACCATTACTGCTCCAATCCACAGCGTGTTGCTGAGTTCCAGGAGTCATTGAAGAAGGTTGCAACACTTGAGCATGGTCGTGATCGTCGGGGTCGGTGGACTCTCAAGCCTGAATTTGCTCGCAATGCAAATAATCGGGGGCGTTGAGGGGGCTTGTAAGGAAGCTGGGCTGAGGACATTCCCGAGATAGAAATTGAGCAGGATATCTTTCTACTCTGGGGATGTTGTATGATAGTGAGTTTGACGAGATGATGACAATGACAAAATACCCTTGATGCAGCAACATAATCCATACTCCATGTAGTGATATCCACCAGACACATGCTTAAAACGCCCTGTGGGACGCTAAGAGTTCTCAACCCCGTATAGAGGAAAGCTGCCGGTTAAGCCACATTCATACCGATGATGTACGCCAAGTATGAACGAACATGCCAATATTTAGGTACAGACCTTATATTGCGTAACTTTTATCAAAGAAAGGGGTTATTCTAATAATATTTTCAACCGTTTATTGATTTCAGTGGGCCATTTTCTATTTCTGGGATCACAAATAGGAAATAGAAAAATATAGAAGCGAGGTTATAGCGAGCCAAATAGGCAAGAGATTTTCGTTTGATAGGATTCAGGGGAACGGCTCCACGGCATCTTGGCAACTTCTTTACTTCAAAGACTTGATATTCAATCGTTTTTCTTTTATGAAATCATTTGTGAAACAAAATTCATCTTATATCATTGTGCAACCCAATCCTAGAGGCGAAAAATACATATCACGAATCTTTGTCCCAGGTTCTTCCATTCTTCCATCAATAGATAGACAAGAGAGTGGGTATGATCTACATTCGATCACAATCATGACTGGCTCGGATGGTATAGCTCGTCAGGTACCCACTTAGTGACTTCCAGGATGTCGATTGTAATCAGCATCCGGTGGGTTAGCCCTTTCGTTTACCCCATACACAGTTTCTGAGACGGTAGCGTGGATCCTGCAAGATCCTGCTGTCAAGGCTGTCAGTGTCTTGGAAGAAAAGAAGAACCAGCACCAGAGTTCAGAGTCGAAGGAAAAGAACAAGCAACAGTTCTAAAACAATTCTAGGAATGGTTCACTGATGACAACTTCTTGATCCCAAGGATTCTCAAGGATGGCCTCGGAGTATCCGGATCAGGGACGAAACAATCCGATTGCCCTATACTCCACCCCCGTGGAGCATGCGTTCATCAGTTTCCCATGGATCCAAACGGCATATAAATGCGTCACTGCCCAGTCAAAATTCTACCCCTCTCCTGAGAATATAAACACGATTCTCAACTGTTACCTTCAAATCATCCCGAAGTCACCATCTTAACATACCCAAAATGAAGTTCTTCGCCACCGTCGCTCTCCTAGCTACTGCTGTGGCTGCCGCCCCATCTGAGAAGCTCTTCAACTTGAAGACCTCCGGTGCTAGCAACAGCTCCCACAATGACCTGTACCTCTCCGTTGGTCACGGTCTGATCAGCGATCCGCTCAACAGCGAAGCTGTCTTCACCGGAGCCCCCAACCGTGCTGCCGCCTTCTCTTTCGTCAACGGCACCATCCTATTGGAGACCGATAACAACTCCCCCTGGGCCCTGGACTTGATCAACGTGATTGGTAAAATACCCCCGACCTGACTGTAGACGTGACTATTTCCCGAACCCGCAATGCTAACAATAATGGTACTAGGTGTCCGCAAGGAGCGCGCCCAGATCAGTGTCAAGCCCACTCACGGCTCCAAGGGCTTCACCATCGGTCGCCACGGCGTCGAGGGACCAAGTCAGACCTGGGACGGATGGCTGTGTAAGTTCTAATATACCCCCTTTCCAATGTTTTATGATCATGCAAAGAAATGGCTGACTCTATTTCTTTCAGGGTGCCCTGCTGATACCAAGGCTGGCCAATTCCTCCCCAACTTGCACTTCCTCAGCAAGACTATGCTGGTGCCTGAGCTCCCGGCTGGTTGTGACAAGATCGAGCTTCATCCTGTCCCCAAGAGCTCTGCTTAGAGGGATTTTCGATCCTAGATTCTAGCACGAAGCGAACATCAGATGGTAATTCATGGTTTCTAGCTTTTGTGTCGAAATTTGGAACTTCTACTGGGCTTTCATGCCGGCGTATTTCGGCGTATACCCCGGGCTTAATTGATAATGTATTGATTATTTTACTAGTTATTACTCTTATTAAGGTCCATCTGATATCGAATTCCCACCAGCATTACATCTAGTATATCCTTCGGTCTCCGTACCAGTAATGATAAGAGGGTATGAATTACAGGTTGCCGGATCACTCTTCTCCATTTCATTACCAATTCTCCAATAGCCTTGGGGTATGAGATGTTGGATCGCCACCCCCACGTTTGGCGAACTTCAGTCGGAACCGAGAGGTGCCCGACCTTGGGTACAAGCAGCTGAGTGGCGATTTGTAGAGATGTTCTTTGTTGTGTGACTTTGTGTATACAATGCCATTCGTTGGCTGCCGTTCATGATTTACCAAAAGAAAGTTCCAAAGCTGTATGAGTTTAATATAAGATATTGGCCAGACTTGGGGATGGCTAATTTTGATGATTTAGGGCAATTAATATCGATTTCCCAATGTTTGTTTGTGTTCAGTACGGGGGTATCACTTATCCTGAAGCTGCACTATATCCTATACGGAGTTCCAGGAGAGTTGATATTATATATCCCCGACAGAATAACAATTAGAAAGCAAACGAGAACCAACTATGAGCATAGAGTGATAGTAGAAGAGTGAATGAAGTGAAAAGTTATAAATAGCCGATGTCTCACATGCTTAGCCATGGCCTGATCGGGTTTAGCCCCGCAATACAGGTCAAACGCCTTCTCTTTCTCTGTTTTTCTTTTCCCTTTAAGGCTCTCTCCAACTATCTGTGATTCATGACACTCGTTTACTGTTCGCCTTGAAGCTATTTACAATCGTTTCCCCGAATCGAACCCCCACATTCCCGAGATCGGAATTAGCCTCCAGACTGGCCAAAGTTAATAACACGTCCTTTTGATCGTAGCAACCGAAATTGCTGGATACCGACTTCAATCAATAAGCCTGTTTTGACACAGGAGACCTTTTTTTTGACAAGTTACACCGGGTTGTGCAAGGGGCGTGTGATCTTTCAGCCCAGGGAGTAATACCTCGGTCGCTTGATTCCTGAATCCCCGGATCATCTCTCCAACTTTCGACATGCGGTGTTTTATTTTGAGCGTGCTCTGCACTATCCTACTGCTGGGGACGATATCATCGGCTTGGCCATGGCAGCCACACGGAGCGCTTCTGGGTGACTCCTTGGATAAGCGAGCAGGTAATTCAGGACTCCTATCATCCCATTTGTGTTTGATCCTGACTATTTAGACACCACAGAGACAACAACCGCTGAAACCTCGGAATCTACCACGGATTCCTCCACTGCCCCCAAGACTTCTGCGAAAACCACCGACACCAATACCGACACGAAGACACGCACTGCAACCGATTCGGAGACTACAGACACTGCAACTGATTCAGAGACCACCGGCAAAGAAACTAGCACGAAGACGGGAAAAAACAAGACTACCGCCACAACCTCGATCTCCATTGACCCTGCTGCCGCTGCTGGTGGCGTCTCTATGATCACCCCCGCTTCCTCGTCCACGACCTACTACAAGATCGGCCAGGATGTGACATTTGTGTGGAACTACACCTCTCTGTCGGTCACGCCATCTGCAGTTAATGTTGTAGCTTCGTGCAGCCTCAACTCGATGAAATATACGCTCAGCTCCAACATGACTGTGAAGCAAACCGGAAGCGTCGTGTGGGATACTGGAAAATACCAGAAATCGGCCACTATTCCGTTGCTTACTGCATCTTATACTCTGATCATCTATGATGCCGACAAGGAAATTGGTGACGCTGCAACCGCTGGACACTTGAGCTCGCAGAACGGCGGTTACGTCTTCGGGATGTACACCCCCCAAGCTTACACCCCACTCAATGGTGAGTATTTGTAACCATCCTCGCTCAAACTGACCGCTAACTTCTTCCAGAATTCAAGTGCGCAACCTGCAGCGGGGCCATGTCTGAAACCAGTCGTCTAGCCATCAAATTTACCGTCGGCATGGCTGTGATTACCTTCGCTTCATTCTCCTGGTTTGCGGGCAGTGCTGGCGTCTTCGCCACTTGAACACACTCTCGGTGCACTCGCATTTACTTAGCATGAACATATTTTTCGTTTTTGGGGGCGTTGCATTGTTGAAGCGATCTGGATTTACGATAATAGCAAGAAAACGGCGTTGCGTGACAAGTTGACATAGGATGACCATTTTTGGACATTATTTTGCATCTCATCCTTTCTTTAATCTGTTGATTTCATTTAATAATTAGCGGTGGATGATCAATTGGAAATTTCATTTCGTATTTTCGGATTTGCATAAAATACAACCTCTGTTGCATCACTTTCAACCTCAAGACATTGTTCCTTGATATCCTTCATATCTCCAATGTCAGATCCCCCAAATTTCCATATCAATGGCAGTTCCAAGGCTGTACTGCCCACCCAGCTTGTTCCTCTCACTGCGGTTTCAACCCCATTCCAGGCATCGCCAAACTCTCATGCAGATCCCGTTTATCCTCCCTTTTCCATGTTAGCCTCGTCACGGCGGAAACGAGCTTCAAGGTAGTTAAGGTTGTTCTCTATAGAATCCATGATCCAGTTGAATTCGAGACGTCGATTATCAGCCGCTTCCTTGGCGGTTTGACCTTCCTCGATGGGGTTTGTAAGGCCGTAGTCATGCAACGCTGCGGCTATCGTCAACATCTTGTTATTTTGGCTGAGTATGGTGTCGATGTCGAAACTACGGTTCAAAGCTTTTAGTAAACCTTCCTTCGTATCAATGGGCCTGGGTGCTTCGGCACCGGAAAATTGTCCGTTCCAGGCGTCGGGATTGATTGTCTGAAACGCTGGCTTTTGCTGGTTGTGGATTTCGTTCTGTGAGTTGGTATTGGTACCCTGTTGATTCAGAGAGCCTTGTTGGGGGAAACGGCCTCCGAGGTTGTTCAACTGCTCAAGCTTCATCGGTCCCTGGGGGTAAACACCTGAGTGTGCATTGTGTTGGCCGACATTACCTTGATGGATGTTCAGTCGCTGCACACCCTGTGGTCCCTGGGTGTAGACGCTTGGGTTCACATTGCCTTTCTTGGCGCTACCTTGGTTGGTGTTCAACTGCTGTACATCCTGTGGTTTCTGCGTGTAAACGCCTGAGTGTGCATTGCCTTGTTGGCCGACGTTACCTTGATGGATGTTCAGTCGCTGCACACCCTGTGGTCCCTGGCGGTAGACACCTGGGTGAACATTGCCTGGCTGGTTGAAATTGCCTGGCTGGTTGATATTGCCTGGCTGGTTGATATTGCCTGGCTGCTTGATATTACCTCGCTGGTTGATATTACCTGGCTGGTTGAAATTGCCTGGCGGATTGACATTACCTCGCTGATTGACATTGCCTGGCTGGTTGGATTTGCCTGGCTGGTTGAAATTGCCTCGCTGATTGATATTGCCTGACTTAAAGGTCACGACTTCCTGAGGAACAAATCCTTGGCTGGGGACACTGGGCTGCTGTATCATTTCCTGGCCGGTAATTTTGTAGTTTCCGCCGTTGTCATGGTTCTCATTCTTCTGATTGCCTCCGGAGGTAGTGGTTGGCGGGACGTTGACTCCCTGGCCGCGGAAACCCTGCGGGTAGACGTTGCGCGGTTTAATGATACGGTTTTGGTGGTTGCGATCGATCCTTTTGGAGGATCCGTCTTTGTGGCTGGAATAGCCTGGATTGGAAGACATGATGTGTTTGTTGTGATTGCGTTGATGAGAGGATTGTTGATGGAAGCTCCGTCGCTTGGGAGAAGAATCTTCCTGGCGATGGGGTTCCTTCCAAGAAGCATGCACTAATTCGCCGTCAGGGCTTCGCCGACATCATCCGCGGGTCATCATTCTCTTTAGCTACGGAATTGCTGGTTGCGCGGCTTGATCTCGCGGTCATTCTTTCCTCGTTAGTAACTCGCTACTGTACCTCTTTGGAATCATGACTCTCTCATCATTATCTGCATTTCACCCTTCTTAGCCATGATATTACTTAGATGGAGGTATATCCTATGTGTCAGTTTCTGGAGTGACGTGCGGAGGGATTCTTGCATGTCTCGTCTTGCTGCTGTCACTGGTATATCTTGTTGATTAACATCATCTGTCAACCTCCTCTATGCATTGAATCTCACAGCGTTGTAATGGTAGCCCTTGTCTGCCTCATCTTCATTGAAGATTACCATGTTTTGCGGGGAATATACTGGCTAGCAGTCTGTGAGGCCTTCGTGCTAAAATAGTCTTGTTAAGTACTGTAGGTACTGAGCTGCACCAATAGACAGATGAAGGGAATCTTGATAATAAAGTCTGTGAAAAAGCAAGGTAGGTACATACATACTCATCCCCAGGAAATGTAACAATACTCTGTGAGCAAACTAGCAAATGGCCATAGAGATGGGATCATCCAGCAGTAGGAATTCTCTTAATGACTAATGGGTGGCCTAGGCTGAGCTTGCTCGGTAACTTGATTGAAACACTGAAATCAAAGGTTCTTTGATAGATAGGTCGGTGGTCTTGAAGTGTAGACTTGGATTAAAACAAAGCACAGGATCGAGACACATTTGGAACAGAGTGTTTATGGATGTCTCAGATTCTTTTCACCGCTCAAGTCGCTGCATTGTTTAGTCATTGCTATAGAGCTAGAAGATGTATGGTAAAACAGTGTCCGGACTTCTACCTGCTGCCTGCGTCAGTATATTGTATGCTTAGGGCTGCATATCCTCCAACAAAGAGACAAACAGCCCAGGCTCCTTTTGTTTATCACCCGAAACATCCCTTTGCCTAGTAGGCATAGATATGTACGAAGCCGTGATAATCCCTTTATTGTCGGGTTTGAGAGGTTCAATTCAACTTCTCATGCGATTATTACGCTCATTGCGAGAAGACATGTGAGTATGTAGAAAAAGAAACTTGTTGTCTTGCATTTTACAATCGAAAATCAGACAAGTCTCACAAATAAAGAAAGCTGTGAGAATGTAGTAAAGCACTTCCCTGACTGAGGTTTCAGAACACAGAATGTATAAGAAGCTACCTCTTTTCCAATTCATGAACCCAGTCCTAGACCACTTCATCTGTCCTCAGGCTTCTATACTCAAAATTCACCAACAAAGAGAAAAGTATACTCAGCCCAAAAGCGACAATGCCCTCGCAACTAGCCTGGATCTGGCCGAAAGATCCCCGTCCCGGAAACCCACAACAATGGCCACGCCGCTGGCGCCTGTTTGACGTCCTAACAAATAAAGGACCAGACATCTACGTCGGCCGAATCAACCACAGAAAGCCATCCTCTCAACCCCGGTCCGGACCCACAAGAAAAGAATGGTCCCGATGGGAGAACAATCCCAATGATCCTGACGCAGACTACAGCCCATTCCCCTGGGCCGGGCGGCCTGCGGGCGAGCGCTATGACTTTCGCACGAGGAAATACCATGTCCCGGACCGTGGGACGTGGAGTGCTGTCGAATATTGCAATGGGGGAAGGACTCAGAAGGGCAAATGGGTCGGGAAGGAGGAAGTGCATTGTGTGCCGATGCGATATTGGGATCGGAATGGGGTTGAGTATCCCGCGGAATTTTGGCATGATAGTCTTTATGGGAAACATGGAGATCGAGGGAACAGATGAGATGGGATGAGATAGTTGAAAGAATAGGAGAGAAAGGAATGTGGGTATTCGGAGGGTAGTTTGCATGATATTGTGTTGCTAAATCCATAGATCGCTTGAATGCTTCCAATCATTTCTTTTCAAAACCAAGATATTTTATATGTAGCCTGTTCTTCCAAAAGTCCCCTTTTAAGTTCCAAGAATGAGTTAGGCTGATATAGGGGGACTTGTCCAATCAGACGCATCCAAAATGCAATGCGTCAAAGGTATATATACGTGCTGATCCATCAACGGATGGTTGATTCGCCGAAGGACGGCGAAGAGTTGGCAGTTGAGCGCCATTATCAGTTAGGCGGTTGCACTTCACGCATGGTGTCTGCTTGATATCTGCATAGGAAGAGATCATATCCTGCACCAGCATTAGCAAGAGTCTCCTTCGGAGTCGGGAACAGAACATACCAGCAAGAAAGCAAGGTCCCATTTCCGCGGGCGTGACCCCACGCATCCCAGTATAGCATTCTCAAGTTTCGTTGGTGACTGGCCGGCGATATTGCTTGAAACCTCCCAGTCAGAGACCGGGGAGCCAGGAATAGACACCCCTCTGACCTGGAAGACAACACCGGCTCTAACAAGTGCTACCGCTAGAGAAGTCTCATCCTCGCCTTTGATGACTCGTACACCGGGTATATTCCGCTGAATGAATCGCCCCAAAACATTCTGCCACTCGCCCTCTGTAGACTGCGCTTTAGTACGTTCAGCCTCTTCATCCACTCGCTGACGCTCATCTACTATGGACTTTTCTTTTTGTGCTAGCTCTTCTAGAAGAACGTCATAATCCCTTTCCCACTTCCCAGTCGGCTGAATCATCTGACCGTTGGCTTCCTTGATGCGTGATTCGACATGCGCCCAGACGGATGTCAATTCTGGATCCCGCCACAAGGACTGAAATTGCTGGATATCAGCGACGCGTGCGCGTGCCGCCTCATCCAGACTAGCCCGGAGGATCCGTGGAGTTTCAGCAATTGGATTGCCGAGTGTGACTTTATCTGGGTTTGCAATAGGCACCAGAGGCTCTAGTAGGCCATCGGGCATGAATCCACGCAGTTCATGGATCTGGATATCTCATTAACTTGGCTTTTGGCGGAACTGTAACAGCCGATGTACTTACCTTGCGCTCGAGTTCTTGTAGTTTTGCGAGAGACGAAACGAGTTGAATCTCTGAGTCCAGTCCTGAGGTTCCGCTATTGCCAGTCGCTGGCCCTTGCGCGGAATTCTGGTTGGTAGTAGCCATTGCCGGGACGCTTGACATGGCTTTTTGTGAGGGACTTGATCAAATGGTCAAATCTACCCCAAAGATGAGCGACTTTGGGGTTTGGGAGATGGGTTATATATAAATATATATTTTAATACGCACTTGACTCTCAAAATGGATACTCAAGCAAGGTGGGAGACAACGGATTATCACAGGGACAGTTTTGTGGGCGATTAGATCACCCTGCGTTGTCTGTTAAGTAGTAAAATGTCAAGATAAAAATGTCCAGAGCAAACAAGAGAGAGTGTTTTTGATGTTCGATCTCAGATAATGATATTTTGTTGCTTAAAGATGCTCCGATAATTCGAGGATGAGAGGATGGAAGAGACGACATGGGCCGCGAACCAATCAGGTAAGCTCCAGCCACAATAACCTGTGCCACGTGTGGCTGGGGTAATGATTACATAATATTGATTTTATGACTAGTTACCTGTGTAGGTAGAAGTGCTATTCAATGTGCCTTCTTTGGGTCTTTGATAAAGGTAATCCAGTGTGGGAGACCTTGAATATACGGTAAATGTCTCAGCACACTCTTGCATCATACTACCCGCATCTTTGACCCTTGTAAACGGTCTTAACCCTGAGTGAGTCCAAGTTGAAACAAGCTTTTGTTGATGTATTTGCGGGCTTTGAAGATTTAAAACCACCGCAGTAACAGAATGATCTGGAAGCAAGAAATCTCAAGATGATGTAACAGTTCCACTGCAAGTTGTTTTGTTGGCCAGTAGAACTATAGAGACTGGATGGAACAAGTCCTCCATTGTCTCACTTTTGCAAGGTTCTTTGTAAAATGAGCTCTCTAGCACGATATCTTGACCTTATGCGGTCTATAAAAGCCCCGAAATCCATTCTACAATATTTCTATACAGAACTCCCCAGCCTTTATCCGCGTTCATCAACATCAATCAGCATCAATCAGCATCAATCAGTAAAGCAAGTTTCAACTTTTGAATTCACCATGACTAAAGGCGAGCCATCTCAATTCTTGGGTACACCTAACAAGGGACCTCAAACTCTCAGACGTTCGCCCCGCATTGCAGCGCAACTTGCGGCCCAACTGGCCAGAGAATCCGGAACGGAAGTGTTGAGCACATGCGGCGAGCCCAGTCAGTCCGACTCCTCCCACATGGACTCAGTTCCAAATCACTCTTGTCATTTGTGTATCGGAACCCCGTGCACCAGGAGATAGTACTGAATATTTGACTTTAAAAGCCACCAAAGCTGAGAGGGCTGGTATGTTCGAAGAGGAGTATGCCGAGGAGACTTTCAAGGATACACAAATATGTTTTCATTGCTCCCAAGAGGAAGTGGCTAGTCAGTATTCATACATATGTCTAGCTCGTCAATTGATGTGGACTTTTGAGGATATTTATACCTATGAAAAGTAGCCAACAATCAACTACCGTACTGGGTGGACTAGGCTAGGGGAATGGCGACAGGAATCTAGGTTTATAGGGACACTTAGCTTGAGTAGAGCAACATGAAAGTTGTTAGTAGTGCCGGAATATAGCATATTTGGGCATCTAGTGCTAGCCTCGATATTATTATCTTCTTTCCGGAGTATAGACCATAATTCTTGGCGCAGGCTACAGGCAGCAGCCTCCGAGCAGAGCCTCAAAAAGTGGGGTATAAAAGGCTCAGCCCCCCTGACCCCCTGCCGACTTAAAAAAAGGACATTTGCAATATTCCTGTCTTTCGAAACCACAGCAACAATGGCACACCAAGAAATCCCGGAAGACTTCCTACGGGGCCCAGGCCCAAATCCAACCCTCCACAAATTCGATTTTGAGCACACATCCCCACCGATCCCTGCATACAAAGATCACTTTGCCGCTATAGTGGAAAACTTCATGACGGAAGCCGAATGCAAAGAGCTTATCCGTCTAGCAGAAGAATCAACAAGAACTCAGCTGCCAGATTCAACCCTCTCACCCCCAGTATGGAAGCGGGCGATGATCAATGCCGGCGGCGGCAGGGAAATACTGTCCATTGACTCGCGCAGCAGCGGACGAGTTATATTAGACTCCCACGATCTCGCAGGCAGAATCCTGGACAGGCTCATGCCTTTCTTTCGTGAGTGCGAACTCGACCGTGTCCAGGGCAAACCTCTAGTTACGGGTCTTGGGCCAGCGAAACGAGGTGAAGTGCTCCGTCTTAGTCGACTAAATGAGCGTCTTCGGTTCCTGCGTTATGAGGGTGGGGATTATTTTCGGCCTCATTGGGATGGGTGTTTTGTTACGCCTGATGAGCGGGAGAAGTCACTGTACACTATTCATCTGTATTTGAATGGGGATGGGGAACAGGATATGGCGGAGTTGAAGCCTCATCTTGAGCGGGTGGAGAAGGCGGATTGGTTGACTGGAAATTATGGGAAAGATGATCTTGTTGAGACTGGGCCAGAGGGGGCACAGGCTGGGGACTCTTTGGGAGAGAGTCAGGCTCTTCTAGGTGGTGCAACGTCGTTTATGGATGGGATAAGCTCGCGTGAATTCCTTCGGGTCTTTCCAAAGACAGGGTCTATTCTCATCTTTCAGCAGAGGAACTTATTCCATTGTGGGGATGATGTATTTAGAGGTGTTAAGTATACCATACGAACGGATGTCATGTATACTACTGAGGCTGAGTAGAGAAGAAGTGACGGCCCATTCAAAAATTACATTTTGTCCTGCGTTAGGATTTTTTACCTAGAAAGAAACAACTGTAGACTTTGGGTACAAGTATGCTGTTGCTATACATAGCATGATATATTGTCACTGATAGGGCTCAGCTCAGCTCAGCTCGCAGTCTTGGCGTCATTTTATACTGGCGAACCAACCGTTCACCTGGAGCCCAGCATGAGGTCATCTCTCTCTCTCTCTATATATATATATATCGATTTCCTACGAAGTAAGTGGGGCATTTAGCCAATCTATCGCAACCCATGTTTTCTGCAACTTCCTAAATAGTCTCCCACGATCATATGGAGCTTCCTCTAAGCGACTACGTTCCATATGCATCTCGGCCCGAAGAGTCCTCAGCCCCGTTAATCATGAGACCGAAGTCGACTACAACGCCATAATCATGACGAACCCTGTCCACGGTAACAAGCTTCCTGTACGAGTACGAGCTTAAGGCGACCTTCCTGGCACGCCTAACAGATCCAGCCCTCCGCACCCAATGTCACCCAAGAGCATTGCCCGTATCAAGCGAATGCTTTTCCTTGGATTGAGAGTACCGATATAGGGGTTTACGAGATCGCTGACAGGGATTACCACCGCTCAGCCTCCATAACCTGGTGAACCGTAAGTCTCATAGAGACTAAATTTGCCACGGGTCAAGAAACGGCTGTGTTGTACATGATGTTTTCTCATGTGGTTCCACATTGATATTTCACGAAAGACGTGTGAACTGATCATTAAGAAAGAAAAAAAAAAAAAAAAAACAAATCCCTACAGCGTCAATGTGATTTAACAGAAGTAGCCAACACACCAAGTCTAAGTCTATACCTGAGCAAGGGATGTGATGTCAACGGAAAAGCGGAAAAGCGGGGGAGAAAGGTCCACGGGTGGATACCCCGGATTATTTCATTTTTATTTTCATCTTCAGCCCTGCAAGGTCTTGTCTTATTAGCAAAAATCTTTGCTAAAAAAAAAGAAACTACAACATATATACTTTAGGCCTTAGCCAGAACGTGGGTGTTTCAGTAAAGTAACCAAATCCCGATGAATGTTGTCTCGGGGGAGGCGGTATGTGACCTCGGGAGCTGTTCATAAATGCCCGGAGTATGTATCATCTTATTCTTGGCCCCAATCCATTCTTCTATATTCCAAGGTTCCTGAGTGGCGCATGGAAATCGTGGCGAGTCGGTGTCACAGGGCTCTAATATTCAAAGTCAGGCCATATATTTCATTTCCCTATACGGAATACAACGTACAAGAGAATATAAGATCGACAGTCTGATCATATTTGCGGGGTGAACCAGCAGATATACTGACATTTGATTGGTTGGGTTTTGAAGATGTCTTAAATCAGACAGGAAATATGTATCCTAGCCATGTGGAGAATTAAAGGAATATGTAATAGAGAAGAATGCACAAATCATAGGGAGACACTGTTTCACTTGGACATAAATCCGTACATAAGTTTAAGACAGTGTGGAGTACATATCCCTATTCTAGGTATGTTGTATTATCTGACCTGACGTTACATCCTTGTTCTATTTCGAGCTTGATGAAACAACTCAATGTGAGCTGGATTGTTATGATATAATGGAAAACACATAAATAGCTTCATTTCTCTCATGTAGTCTGGTATCTTATTCTCATCTTCATCCTTCAAAACCAACCAACCAACCAACCTCCAAACTTCAATCATCATGCAGCTCACTCAGCTCCTCATCGCTACCGGCCTCTTTGCCTCCTCGGCCTTCGCCGCCCCGGCAGACACCTCCAGCAAGTCCATGATGGCTGCCGGTCCCCAGTGGACCCTCCAAAACACCAAGCGTGTTTGCAACGCTGGAGACACCTCCTGCACCTGGACTTTCGGCATCTACCCCGGCGCTGGCGAGGCAACTCCCTGCACCTACGTCGTGACTGGCGCCCCTGCCTCCCACGCCAACGGCGGCCCCGTCAACTGCGGCAAATACACTGTCACCTCCGGCTGGAGCGACCAGTTCGGACCAGAGAACGGCTTCACTACTCTCTCTGTTGTCGACAACGAGTCTCGCCAGATCATCTGGCCTGCCTACACCGATAAGCAGGTTGCTGCTGGTACCGTTGTCAAGCCTGACCAGAGCTACGCTCCTGCTGCTCTCCCTTGAATAGATGTGAAAAGGGCCTCGGAGGATGAGCCGAACACCATACATGTCAACCACTTTCCTTAATGATAATCAATGCCACAAGCTAAGATGTTTTGTCTATTATATTCCATATTTTATCCTTGGGATCGGCCGTAGTAAAGAAAATCTGTGCATCACATAATGACCCTAAATAAACCCACCTACCTCCACTTTGAATAATGGAACGTAGTTCTGGCCTTCGGACCAGAGGGGTTTCACACCCGAGTCCACTCTTCCTCTCTCCAACCATCTCTACCTTACAAATACGTAGCCCCGGGGTCACTAGTAGATCATTTCCAAGGTTGTGTAGCATTCTCGAAGGTTATAAGGCTATTTTCTACTAGCAAGGAGTATAAAGCTTATCCTAAAGTTAGTGTTAACTACATATTATGATGGTGTGCTAGGTTAACGTCTAGACCGAGCGATGTCAAACTGCATCAGCAGTGCTAATCCTGCCTCTAAAAGTTAGGAGATGAATATTCTTGGCGAGCCAAGATACCCATTCCAGAAAAAAGATTTCATTTTTATTATCTCCCAATTATCACGCCTTGATATTTAGCTTTGGTCCATATTTGAAGACCTTAATCGCTGCGTAGCCTAGTCCCGACACACAGGTTGGAACACCACCGAACACCCACAAACTATGCCAATCAAGCGATGCGCCACCATTCATGAGAATTGCACCGCTGCTGGGACCACTAGCCAGCACACCTAGTGCGATGATTGCGTAGCCCATACCAACACGCGTGCCCAGCTTCGACTTGTCAACAGTCAGAATGGCCAGACACATAGGCGGCAGTCCGATTAGCGCACCACTCATGAAGCCAGACAGCACCGCCATAACAATAACAGCGGCCTTTGATTTCACTGCCATCATGCAGAACATCAAAATCCCTGAGGATAGGGCGGCTGGAACGAGAAGGTTAAATGGGCCAAAGCGATCCGCAAGCTTGTTCGGGATTGTACGGCCAAATATCGAAGCTGCATTGAAGATGGGCACCAAGTAGAAGGCTAGACTGCTGTCGGTGATGCCAGTTGCTTCAGCGAAGAAGGACAGATAAAATAGAATAACAAACAGGCCCATGTACGCAATGAGTGAGGTGAACACAAAAGCCAAATAAGCCGGATCCTTGAACGCGGTGGGATCGATCATGGCGCGCACCTTGGGCGGTTGAACGCGCAGACGCATAATGCTAATTGGAACGAGCAGTGTACCCAGTGCGATGAAGCCGATAACTCGCACCGCCCAAGGAAAGCCAATTTGGTTGATCAGTCGGTACAGGACGATTGGATAGATGACACCGCCGAGTGCGGATCCTGAAGCGGCTGCACCCATAGCAGCGCCCATCTTGGTCGTGAAGTATTGAGGAATTATGGCGACACATGGAACAAACAGACAGCCTGTTCCGATTCCGACGACGAATCCCTGTGCCAAAACAACTTGCCAGAATTCGGAGCACAGACTCAGCATCATGTGCCCGAAAACAACCATGAGGGTGCCCACCATGAGGAGTGTTCGAAGGTAGCCACGGTCATAGATGGGACCGACAAAAAGGCCAACAAATAACAGCATAAATGCGGCAATTGAGCCCACCCAGGAGATGTCTGACGAGCTAGCATGGAAGAGAGCACCGGACTCATAGTAGGTTTGGTAGGCGCCGAAGGTATTCATGATGCCCCAGGTGTTGAAGTAAAGCATGAAGCTGCCTAGTACATTGAGCCATGCTAAAGCACCACCATTTGGAGGCGAGGATGGCTCAACGGCGGGCTTTTCTTGGGAAACCATTTCTTCGGGGAGAGGAAACTGCTCGCTGGTCTTTACCATGTCGGCTTTTTGCTGCGAAATTGAGCAGAGAATACTTGGAGACAGAAATGCTTCATTTTATTGTGAAATTCCCTTTATAGATGTAAATTCCAGATATCGGGATATTGTCCCCATTCGGTAGTCCCTCGGAGTTGTCACTTAACGTTCATCGTTGAGCCTCTCCCGATATATTAACCCCATTAGGCAATTCTCGGAGATTAACCTCATTAGACCGTTGTCTCGAAATTATCACTTGAGCCCTAATCTCGATCCTGCACGTCGCAATCGCAAAGCCACGTTAAATTTGTCTTCATAACCGGTGCGACTTTTTTCGGCTTTTGAGTCTCCTTAGGTGTACAAGCTTTAAATGAGCTAATTCTCTTAACTTCTTATTCTTTGCCCTCGGCGAAACTTTTATCAGGCTATCTGGTTCATGCAGCTTATAAACAAGTTATAACGGGTAATATGTCTACATATTTCATGCCATTGCTAGTAGTGACAGTATTTCAAGTGGCCTGCTGATATCAGTTCCAACCAAACTTGCATATAACAAAATTCCCAACTCAACCCGAATACCTAAAATGTTTATTCTGTAGATCTGTCTGATCCCCGAGTCCAGAAAATACACTCAAACCCTCCGCACTACTGACATACTCGGGGTTCTCCCGAGCGCGCGAGTCTCGTCGGTTATTCTCCAATCGCATGAGGACCCAAGTAGTCGTGGAGAGAACAATATACAACGAAAGACATCTATTCACCATGTTAGCATTTTAGATCAGTAGCTTTGAAGTAGTAAAACCCACGCTAGTACAAACGCCAACCCAGTATGATACTGAGGGCTTTCCTCTCCAAGGAAGGTTTGAGGTGTGACAATATTAGCGACACAGTAGAGGAAAAAGGCGGCCGATGTGACCGTCTGCTTCCGTGTGAATCCTACAAAATTGGCTCCAACGATAGACATGATCACTGTATAGTTGACGCCGGAAGCTGAAATTATAATGCAACCCGCAAGTCGACGGTGCTGATATTGCTCTTCCGGGGGAGTCACGTATAGAATGATTATACCGACAACGCCAACAATACTAGCCAAAGCTGCAAGTGGCTGCTTTTTGTTGCGGAAAAAGACGAAAAATGTAGGGGGACCGGACACAAGCAGTTGAACGATGGCCTTGGGTATTTTTTAGTTTTCAACTTCTTGGATGATAGAAGGTGGTTCCTACCTGAACCGCGTAATTCGGGGCGGTATATAGTTGTGCTTTCAGTGCAGTGTACCCAAACCCCTAATTAATTAGTAAGAGAGAAGCGAATAACTTTGAGACCTTGCTTTAAATATCACCTACTTTTATCACAATGCCGAGAAAGTTCGTTGTCACACTCCCAGCGGTCTGAGAGAATAACATCTGCAAGATCAACAACCACGCATGCGGGTCTCTCAAGGTTTCCTGCACCTGGTCCCATTTGAAATGGGCTATGGAAGATGAATCAGTAGCTAATAACAAATAGGCTTTTTGGTAACTTACTATTTTTAAGCCCAAGCTGGGCCTGGGCAACGCGCTTAACAGCTATAGCCCTTTCTCGCTCACTAAGCCATTTTGCAGACTGGGGCGCATCAGGCATAACAAAAAACTGTATAAATTAGACTTCCCTCATTTAGTTCAAATGTTGTAGCATGCACATACCATAAGTACCCCTGTGAAGCTGCTCAGTAGCCCAATGGTGAGGAAAATAAGCCGCCAGGATGTCTGCCGGGGTTAGCTCTATAAAACCATATACGCAAAGATGAACTTACTATGGGACCTGTTGTAACATGACCGAGCCCTAGAGTTCAAAGTTAGGTTTGTTGCAATGAAGGAACTGGTGACATCCAGACCATAGTAAATAACTAAAAAGGGCACCGGAAGAGCACCGTTTGTCATCGTCCATAAACCAAACCGGAGGGGTTGTTCCTCCTGTGTATACCTTTTATCGCATTAGCATGGTCGGGATATTGTAGGATAACCCACTAACCACATAGTTGTGCTAAAGAACAAGGCATTAGCTCATGGTTTATGGCAGTCCAGAGTATTCACGACATACACAAGCAACAGTCCAGGGACAAGACATGATTCAAAGAGCCTAGGATTGATTAGTAGCAGATCCGAAATTGAATGAATGAGGTAGGTATACCCAAGAATGAATCTCAACACCATCAATGAAGCAAAGTTCGTGGCCCCAATACACCCTAGCAACGCACCACCCCAAATAAATAGAGCCATACCCATAAACCTCCCAGCATGGAAATATTGCAAGCCGCGGCCAGAGAAGAAAGACCCTGTCAGGTATCCAAAATAGAATATCTGTCCTCGCCCTTATTAGGGGTTGCTCATCTGAGGATCAAATTGGGGGGCCATACAGAAACACACCAAGAGTACTCCTGGCCAACGAGATGGAGGTCATCGCGAAGACCATATGTAGCGGCGGCACCGAGACCTGACTAGATTCGATAAGAATTCATTCAGTAGTAGGAAAGGCTGGTACATACCTTGTCCACAAATTGTAGCCCGCAGGCCCAAGCAGCGAGTGGAACTATGCGCCAATCAATCTTTCGTAGGAGCTTTCGATGTTCTAATCTGTTAGGTCGACAAAGATCATAAAAGTGGCGAATACTCACCCTCCGCTGTATATTCAATGTCCTCTTGGTCCATTAATATCTGGGCAACGGTATTCATATTGTTATAATCTCCGTTTTCCTCTCCTGTGGGGGTAAGAGAGATAGTCCCTTTCACTTCGTCCATATGCTCCGCCGACTGTGCAGCCGGAGTAGGCTGCGGGAAAGACATTGTGGCTGGAAACTGGAGATTAGACGAAATTGGATTATCGTAAAGCTATTAGATATATAAGGGGACTATAGATGATTTTGACTATATACACGTTTAACTTTTTAAGGTTTACCTATCTCAATAATTACCTAAATTAGAATCCGGTGATTTCTTACCTAGAACCGGAGTCTAAATTTATTAGGCGGAGATCGAGAGGCGTTTATATCTTGGCATATTAGATCCGCTATTTGAGTACTATGCTACTAATTGACCACTTATATTCGTTACAAGATGAGCTAGAAGAAAATGTGGGGAGAACAAACCCCAGATTATCCACTTTATACTCGCTAAATTCGGGGAACAGCCTACGTAGACGCCGGTCATTTCTGAATCTTATTGCCAATTTACATATATTCTAATTACAGAAAGGTGAAAAGGCATACTGGCTTACTTTGGGGACTAGGCTAATGGAATTATCAAAGGTTATACTTAAAAGTGCATTCTATAAGCCTCTTGCCGCCGTTTGGCTTACCGTCACCCTATAAAACTGATAAGACATAAACAGAAGACCACTGAAAAGATCACTGAAAATACATTACAAAGCCACCTATGCGGCCAACTATTCTTATATAAAGGATTCTCCAAGCCACACAGGGACATATTTACCACGTGGATACCCTAAATCCATAATGCCAGAGACATTAATCTCGGATAAGTATGAAAATCCCATCGATTGTGCTCTTGGCCAGACGCCTATTATGAAAAGAATGCCCAAATGAAATTACATTGTTGAATACCGCCTAGTGTACATCTGTGCACTTGCCATACTGACTCCAAAACTAAGAACAGGTGATCAATTCGCTTTCCACAGGCTCTTCACATCCTTCTTGACAGGCTTGAGAAGGCCTTTGATCTCCGCCTTGAGAATACGCTTATCTTCTTTAGACCACGTCCCACTCCGCTTCGCGACTCTGAGATCCCGGACATGGCCTGTGAGTAGAGTTGATATATTCTCCACCGTGCATTTGGTGCACTTCGTATCATCCGCGATATCATTCAGTGCGTTTGCCAATGTGCGGATGATTTCTTTTGCTTGTGGCTTCTGCAATTCATGATCGAGAAGCGGGACTAGGCTGGGCCCGTGGGTTAAGCAATCCACCTTGGGGCTTGTACTAATGGGAATCTGGTTAGTACCTGCCGTGCCCCAACAATAAATAGAGTCGTGGAGGTGAGTTATCGAGCACTTACTGCTTTTGCTCCTTTTTCTCAACGTTTTCCACCTCGACGGCGTCGATAGAGGTGTAGGACGGGGCCTTGGAATCGTCGGTCTTGAATTCGGTCATAATGGCTGTACGTTGGAAGTGAGAATAGTAGTTCTAGTGAATAATAGTTTCTGAACAAATGGATTTGTGCTTTTTAGTCCTCGATATTGTAGTTGACTAGTATTTATATCTATACTTCGCCTGGTCCATTGGTACTATGAGGTTGCCGAAATGGGTAAATCCGATATCTCCGTTAGTTACCAAATTTGGTGGTCGGCCGAGCGAAATGTTCAATCGAGCTCGGGATTACTTTGTGGGTTCGGCTGTGGCCGAGATTATGACGATCCCTACGACCGGACCCTTTTTTCCTTTCAAAACTAATATAGATTGAGCAGCTTAGACGGTGATTCGATAGAGTTAAGGGATTGACAAGCTGGTGATGCCTATAGTCAACAAATAAACAGTTGGGACTCGAATTATTCAATTGGCATGCAGTGTTTATCCAATAGGTCCAATACAACCTATAACACCCCTTTAACGGCCCGATACGTGTGATTTTTGGGTAAAATGATCTATGTATTCAAGTTCTTTCAAGCGCTGTGACAGCTTGAAATATGTTCTCATCACGTGTCCTATACGTGCAGCTACGCGACTATCATAACGTTTCAGCTTCCATGACCATTTGATCCACTATGTTTCACAGTATTTCCTTGTCTTTCAAACCACGACATGTGTCTTTCTCGGCAATACGAAAAACTTCAAAAAGAGCGATTCACAAAGATTGGAACTCAGTCGAAAGCTTTTTCAAATACACAAGGGGGTGTTTTGTATCCGACGGAAAACACCAACATGCAATCAGACACACCAAATTTGACATGAATGAACTTGTAGCCGTGGTAGCAGAATCTCTCGGGGGCCAAGAATGTGTACAGGTCGAAAAGTTTCCGGATGGCATGTTCAACAAGGCATTTCTTTTCACCATGGCAGATGGTTCTCAGGTCGTCGGCAAGGTCCCAAATCCGAACGCGGGACGGGCTCATTTTACTACAGCCAGTGAAGTGGCGACAATGGATTTTGTTAGCTGATTAGTCCCTCCGCCCACAAAATTGAAGCTTACTATTGCTGTAGGTACGAAATGTCTTAGGTACCCCTGTTCCACGCGTCCTTTGCTCGAATTCTAGTGCAAAGCACAGTTCCGTTGGAGCCGAATATATTATCATGGAAAAGGCTGCGGGGGTGCAGCTGAGTCAGTTCTGGCCAACAATGCCCATCGAAGAGAAGCTGGAAATAATAAAAACGATATCTAGCTATCAGAAAAGCTGGATGTCCGCCCCCTTCAGCAAATACGGCAGCCTGTACTACTCCTCTGACCTCGACACGTGTGGGCAATGCAAGTTGGTAAACCCAAATAGCACTCGAACCGAAGAGTCTCGTTTTGCCATTGGACCTTCAACAGGTCGAGATCAACTTGATTTTTCGAAGATTGAGATAGACTTTGACCGCGGTCCATGTAAGCTACTCCAGTCCCGACCTAAGATGGGCTGACATTAACTTGAGAGGGAATGTAGGGGACAGTGCCCTAGAGTATCATCGTGCAATTGGACTCAGGGAGATTAGTTGCATAGAGAAACTCAATGAACTCCCGCGTTCGCCCCTGACTCTCACTGGACCTGGGCTATACAGCCCATCTCGGTCTAAAAAGCTCGCTGCTTTGAGGAGCTATCTCAAACTGGCCGATTATCTTCTACCGTTAGACTCGTCAATTTCGGCATCATATCTATGGCACAGTGATCTTCATACCGAGAACATCTTCGTTGATCCTCAAGAACCAACAAAAATTCTTGACATCATAGACTGGCAGTCTACAGAATTGTTGCCTCTATTTGATCACGCCCGCGAACCATACCTTCTCGACTATGGTGGGCCCCGTGCCGAAGGTCTTGAGCCCCCAGTCTTTCCCGACTTGAGCAAACTTTCCTCAGCAGATCAAGAGCAAGCCAGAAGTCTTTATTTTATGATGTCACTTTCGGCTTTATATAATACACTGACTTATCGTGATAACCCAGAGCTCTACAAAGCCATGGAGTTTCGTCAGACTCGTTGTTTTGAATTGTTACTCCTTGCGCAGAATCTTCTTGTGGACGGTGAGGCATTATATCAAGCTTCTGTTTTAGAACTAGAAGACGAATGGCCAACTCTGCCCAGTGTGCAGGCATCCGGAGGTCCATACTTCCCTATCAAGCTAACCGCAGATGAGGTGCAATGTCTTGAACATGACGTCTCGGACACAATCAAAGGCATGGGGTTGTTAAATGAGCTTAAGGAATCGCTCGGTGAATTTTGGCCCGAGAAGGGGGTCGTGAAGCATGACGAGTACGACATTACCAAAAGGCTTCTAAGTCAGGCAAAGAATAAATTATCCGACCAGATGGGGTATTCGAACAGTGAGGAAGCTGTGTGGAACAAGCTATGGCCGTTTGATAATTAATTGGTGATAATTCATGGCTTTGTATCGGTATTTCGGAGCTCGTATTGTTCAACGGTGGTGTTAATGTTCTATGTATAAAGTGAAGACAATTCAGGCCCATATATGTACTCTGCCATCCTTCGTCGTTCGGCAGTAAATTGAACTTTCTACTCTAATTTTCTGAGTGCTTTCCATACACTCTTTAGTTATTTTGGCCATAATATAAGAATCGCTTACACTTGGTCTAATAAACGGACCAATGATGCGCCCTTATACAGACTAACCAATCGCCGGGTGCTGTAATAGGCGAGATATGGGCGACCAAACATCAACCCCACCTAGCCAGTTGGTGTATCTTCATCAAGAATCGTTAAAATTGATTTATATGTCACGGGCGTTGTGACTAAAGAAGATTATCAACAATGACAGTCTCAGCGTCTGACCTTCCTGAAAACAATACAGCAACCCTAGCCAAATACGTTGACATTCCTATTATCGATGCATTTGTCACATGTGTTGAGAACAATACCAACTATGAAAACAGCATAAAAGCAATGCTAAATGGGATACTCGCTCATTACTTTCCTATTGATATGGGCTACGCTGTTGCTCCTAAACAAAACCGAGATAATAAACTTTCGCACTTTCTTGTCTGTCGCCTCCGGTGCCGCTTTTCAGAAGATCGAGGCATCGTTGACCATGCATTGATCAAAGCAAAAGGTCGCTTAGACACCCTAGAGGAATCGGTGGAGCAGCTCACGGAGGCACTTGAGAATTCAAACACCGATAATGGCCAATGTTGGGCAATACTAGCTATTGACGCGCACCTTATATTCTATGAATACTTCAAAGACCTTCCCAAGAACGAGAGTCTCCTACCTTGGTGCCCGCCTGGTCAACCTACCAACAGCTTTCACATTCGTCATGACTATGAGGTCATTGATTGGATGTTCAATTATATGAGACAAAAGGATGGACCTCAGGCACGATGATCGAAATGTAAATACTGCCCAAGATCCTGATGCATTGTGCAAATAAACTGATAAGCGCAAAGTACTGCTCTCAGTGTTTGATTATTGCGGTTGCTTTGCTTTCACAGATGTATTCTGTGGTCCTTCTCATTACAGGAATCATCTCTGGCCTATACTAAGCAGCTTGTCCCGATTGGGTAAAATTAAGGCCTGATGTCTAGGGCGGAATATTAGAAATCCGCGGTCATCGGCCCCCGGAGCCCCGAACACCGAGCTTATCCACCTTATCGATTTGGTCATTGCTTCTCGCCATCCTAGATCGAATATAAAAAAGCCACAAGGTCGAATAAAGTCCCTAAAAATTCCTCAAATAATTAACCCAAATCATTAAGCGCTTCTTTCCCAGCCCCCAAAATGTCCTCAACCAACAACGTCGCCTTCACCGCCCCAATCAACCCACCAGGCGCAACACCCGTTATCACCCACGAACAAGTATGGACCGGCCTCCTCCTCAAGATCCGCTCCGCAGAGACATTCGTCCCAGGAGCGATCCAATCCACTAAGGTCATCAGTGACTCCGTCGACCCATCAACTGGCAATGCGGTCACCGTTCGCGAAGTCCTCTTCCGCGAAACCCAGAAAATAGCTGAAGAGACCGTTACAGCTTTCAAGCCTACACGAGTAGACTTTGAGCAGCCCAATGGAAGCAAGATCAGCAATGTGATTAGTCAAGGAGCTGGTGGGGAGCTCTACATGACGTATATCTTTGAGTGGAGACACCCCGGTGTCTCGGAGGCGGAGCTAGCGGCGTTGTTCGAGAAAGAGAAGAAGATGAGCCAGATGGCGGTTGAGGGGACAATCAAGGTGTTGAGGCAATTGGTTGAGGAGAAGAAGCTTTGAAGTTGATAAATTGGGGAAACATGCCGTAATTGATACACAACCAGCATGGATTCCATATTTCGCCCCCAGTCATCTTCTTGATATACTTGACTCTACACTCATCACATCTTTGATGTGGCGTATCCTCGATGTAATGTAACGATTGTTGGGTCTCTAGCCATATTTAGAAACGACCGGGTGTCTACCTGGGCCGTTCCCCGCAATTGGCGAGTGTAAAGTGTGAAATCCAGGGCTAGTTTATTCTAGTTAATCTTATAACGAATATAAGAGATTAGTTAATAGCGTGGTACTAATATTGTCGATCTAATATGATAAGATATAAGCGTATCTCGATGTCTGTCTAATAAATCTAGACGCCGGTTTAAGCAATCACCGTACTCCAATTTAGGTCATTATTAAGATACCTAGGTAGATAAATCTTTATATTTAAACGTATATATTGTAAAGTCATCTATGGCAGCGTCAAGCTTATCAAATGAATGGTCCCCATTATAGACTGCTGTTATAGAAGCCCATATGGAAACCAATCATTGTCGAGATTATGCTAGCAAGTCGCCTGAGACTTTTCCTTTAGTCTTTGTTGAGCTTGAGCTTCGTCCCGATCTCGGTCTTCTTCCATGCGCTCGCCTGGCAAAACGATAGCACGATCGAGCTTGTAAGGCAGTCCACGGTGACGGCCTCGAATCATTATCACGCATACGACGAGCTTGCTGAAAATGGTGAACTGTCCGGAAAGAGAAGTCGAAACGGTAGGATATCCAAGACTGAGCCCAACATTGCCACTTCATCGGAATTAGTCAAGAAGTAAAAGTATGTATGGGGTAACTCACTATGCTGAAACCACCTCGAATAAAACCGAGAATACAGAAAAGGCCTGGATTTGTTAAATTTGTTGTTGCTGGACTGGAAATTGACCACTTACCGGAATCGACGTATCTGCAATCTTACCGGCCTCTGCGATACAGATGCAAAAGCAGCCGAGGAAGATGTACCACAAGTCGAAGCTCAGTTGGTTCTGAATGTGGTTGAGAATATAAGACCGGCCATCAGTCTCGTCCATGTCAATTTGATTACCATATATACCCAGCGTCCTTTCTTCATAAACATTGGAAGCTCGGATGCTAATAGCGATTGGGAAAATCGCGATATACATCATGACGACCAAGCTGAATTGGACTGCTGGGTTCACCTCAGCCAAGTTAAAAGACGCTGTACCCGTGTGACGCGCTGATGCTGCTTGGAAAATTGCAGCAAGAACTCGAGGACCAGGCGCGAGACTGTTAACGGCGGGATTGTTCAAGTCCAGCACGAGGATGAGAATGACATCGATTGAATTCATGACGAACAAGATTCCAAAGAGAACCCACGTTGGCCGGCTTGGGAAAAGCAGCGTATAGCACCGTCGCGGATGATCGAGTAGGAATTTGAGTGGGTCATGGAGCGAAGATTTCGAATGGCAAACTTTGGACATAATCCAGATGATAAGCCGAAGAAGGCATGGGTAGCAAGTATTCCCGGCAAATGCAAGGAAAGTCATGAGAATCATTGGGAATGTCGCATCCCGAAAGGAGATCATTGAATCTGGTGTCAGAGTAAAGCCAAGATTATCAATCATTGTCTGAGCGGAGTAGAAGCCCCTATTGTCCCAAAAAAATAAGTGATCATGTCGTTGATTTAAGATGAGCTCACTTACCACCAAACACTACCTTGCCCACATTCGGCAAGATAATCACGATATTTTGGATCTGCATGTCGAATCCATCCAACTAGGCAGATTGCACCGAAGAGATGCAGACCAAAGAAATATCCTGTCACAATCTTTAACAGTAGCTTCAAGCTTCGATATTCAATACCACCAAGTCTTTCACGATCTTCGGCAGACAGATTGTGGAACTGGGAGTTCCGGCCTATTGTAGCCTGTGAAGACATATTCGGCAAGTCAAGCTGCTTCATGCCATTTTGTCCTGTATTTTGGCTCCTTTCGCGACTAAGAGAGTTTCCCAAGACGAACACGGATGTTACAACGCGTTCAAGGGTGCGAGGTGAGTTCATGTTTCTGGTAGTTTGTCGAGAAACCTTATGAGGTCGTTCTTTGATCCAAATTAGTGGCCAATTTGAATTTGCTCTGTATCTCGATGCTTACCATCATCGTCCTCATCAACTCTTCCATCAATCTCAGAAAATGGGATGCCTGCAAAATATAAGTGAGAAGATGAATGTGAAATGGGAGTTTGCTTTTCTTGCACCTCTATCACGTTTCCATGGAGGCGGAATATACAAAGCTTGGTCTTTAACTTGGTCTTTGCCGGAGCACTCATCAGCAAAATGAATGACTTGCTTTCCGGAATTGGTATTCGAGTCATCAGCTTTGGCATTCAACTCCTGGGAAACTCTGAAAAAGGTTAGCACTACCTCAGAGTATCTTATATGGCGAAACCAACCTTGGAGTTTTTTCGCGGGTCTCATCGCTCTCCTCCAAGTCATCTGTATGGTCCTTAAAGCGATCACTTGGAGGTTCATCGACGCTGCTTTGCTTGAGTTGCGCCTCTGCATCTTGTCTAGGAAGTGTCTCGGGCCTCAAAAAATGCGGTGCTGTATTTAGATAAGTTAGTTATTGATATAGGAAGAAAAAGAGCTACCCACCAGTGGCTTTGAGATGTTTTTCAAACCATCGAACCCGGAAAACAACCACAATTATGTTGATGAATCCCAGGTTTCCTAGCATAGGAATAAGATATATATACACCTGTTGATAGGTCTTCAAATCCTTGACATCGAATCTACCCAAGTCAATGTATATCGACAAAGGAGAAAGGGTTAACTACTTACGTATTCAGACCTGATTCAGTCGATGCGCTGGCACCGAAGAAAAATGCATCAATGGCTTTCAAATTACCATAAGGATAGATTATAACCAAGCTCAGAACACTGAGGGTTATAATCCATGCATCTATAAAAAAAAAACATTAGAGGGCAAATATATATAGATGTCACAACACATACAATGCAGGGTGAGAAAGTTAATCGACTTCCACATGGTAACTTGCATATCAAAAGGACTCGGGGACGAAATTCATTTTGTATTCCCTGGTTTCAATAGCTTATAGTTGCTTCAATACCATATGTTATATAAAAATTTGCTTGAGCGATTTTGTTCGACAAATCATCGTATAGACTGAACGCCACCGCTTGCGGTGGGTGAGAATCGGATTTCCCGCCAACCCTGCAACTCTGCTATAACCATCCATCTTTGGTTAGACTTGATCGGCAATTAGATCTTTCGTTCTGGTGTAGAAAAATCCCTCAAATATTATTACAGTCTATTAGACGTAAGATCAGATGGGATGACCTCGGGAGAGGATGTTTATTGGAATAACTAGCTTGAAACTTCAAACTCAACTCCTTTTACAGTGTGGCTATGTCAAACGGATTGAATTTAAAAAAATCTATAGGTCATTTTACTCAGGGATCAGCACTTTTCCTTCAGACACGCTAACCGCAGTACCCGTCAGCACAACCTGTTCGATCCTCTTGTCACCACCCAAAGTAACCCCAACACCGATGTCACTCCGACGTCCCATTTCAACTCCCTGAACAACATGATACTGAGAATTCTGACCAGCCTTGCCCTCTGTAAGCGCCAAGTACGCTGCCAATCCACTGGCTGAACTGCCCGTAGCGGGATCTTCGAGATTTCCCAGCATCATACGGGACCGAATAACCTTCTTCTTCGTGACACTATCCTCAACATCCCGAACAATGAAGTACACACAGATCAATCCAACCGTCCATCCTTCATCAAGATAATCAGCTGAAACCAATTCACCACCGGTCGCAGGCGTAACAGCAGCCAGCGCCTCAAGCGAAGGAAGCTCAACAAACAATTGACTCATCCCATTGACAATTGAAAAGAGCGGGAAAGTAACATCTGGACGCGTAAAGAACGGCGCCAGTGTCGGGTGCAGCCTCACTAACTCCTTCAAACTGAACCGCGCAGCATGGATACGCGTATTGTGTGCAATCTGCGCAGCAACGTATTTAGTCTCGCGATTCTGGAGTGAGATCGGGATATCGCCGGACTTGGTCGCGAGGGTGGTGACGCCATCGCCATCCGCGGGGTCAGTTGAATGACTCAGGAACCAGGAGGCTGCGCCAATGGTGGGATGGCCTGCGAAGGGAATTTCGCAGTCTGTGGTGAAGATGTCGATGGTCCGCTTGCCTTTCTCGCGGACTGGGTGGACGAAGATGCTCTCCGAGAGATTAAACTCCCGTGCGAGGGTTTGCTTCTGGCTCTGGGTTAGAGCGTTTGAGTCTGGGAGGAAAACTACTGCTAGCGGGTTGCCAGAGTAGGGTGTTGATGTGAAAACATCGAGAGTAACGAATTTGAGGTGAGTCATGTTGTGTGGTATTTGATGTTTTGAGATATTCAGGTATATGTATGTTGCGGATATCAACGGGATGGGTTTTTATACTCTCATCCTCCCAGTCCCCCACTTTTCCTGTTGACTCACCATCAAACTTCCACGCTATTTAGTCACATTTTAGTTACAGAATATCCATTCAGCTCGGAAGAACAAAATCTTCCGTACCCCTTCTACTCCCCCATCCCTTCAGTCCCTCAATCAACGCTTTACTAAAGCCAGGATCGTACTGTCCATCATCCGCAAAACTAACTCTCCCCCTCCAAAATGCCCAATTCTCAATCATCACTCCCTCCGGTGCACGTAAAATACCAACTGCGACATCAACTACGCCCGGCCGGTCGGTACAACTATAAAACACCGTCGCGCCACAGGTCCCACAGAATGTCCGTAGTACCTCTTCACTAGACTTGTAACTTTTCGACGACCCGATAATCAAATCCGCCGGTGGGGAAGGGGATATATGATCAACCGGAACAAACATCCAGGCCATAACATTCGACCCATCAACCAGGCGACAGTCATTACAGAGATCAAGAAGCGCAAGCCACTTGCTCGTGTCTTTTGGCAAAACCCATCCCTCACTCTCAGGGCTAGCGAGGAATTCTTTTCGAGGACGGGCGATAGAGAACGAAACCCCACCGCAGTGACATTCAGCGCGCAATTGCTCCTCCGTATTTACTCGAATACTATCTCCAACCTTGCTAGCATCCGGTGACGGCAGGTTAAAGAAATCAAGCTGGCGACCATCAATATGTGAAAACATCGCCGAAAGCCCTCCATCAAGTGAAGATTTCGTAAAAGCATGTGAGCGCATCTCCCATAAACCATGGTTTGGCTCGGTGAAGATAGCCGTAGATATGTACCAGATGCCGTCGTCGTGCGATCGATCCCCAATGTGACAGCCGCAGGTACTACAGAAATGTCGCGTTCCCTGGGACTCGGCATGGTCGTAGGCCGTCAGTTTGTCTATGCTAGATGGAGCAATAAACTGCGGTGCTACTCCTGCTGGTAGCGGGGCATGGAAAATACACGGTGTGCCATGGGTATAGCGACAGACGCTGCAGTGGCATATGTGGACTGTGAGAGGAAGGACGTCTGTGGAAATTGTTATGGTGAAGCGGATGCTTTGGCAGTGGCATGTTGCTGTGAGAGTACGATCAGCCATTTTGGAAAGAGGAATTTCTTTCAATGGGTTTCCGAAAGAAGATGTCAGAGTGCGGGGGAGTTCGTATTTATATGTTTCTAGAGTTATCAAACACGAGTCTTGGCTTGGGCACATAGAAAGTATTAAATTTGTTCTCATTGAGCCTATCCCTTTACAATTCCTTTTCTCAATGCCAAACGCCTCATCAGGTCATAAAATATGTCACAGACATTGAAGTGAACCCACTATTCAGAGTCACTCTCAATCACAAATCCACCGCGCATGCGTCTCCGAGCTGGAGCCACAGGCACATCTTCATCCTCATCATCTATAGCCTCGGGCTCTGTAGCCTGAGGCTTACTTGGGCGATCTCGAGTAAAGGCGAAATCGTCATCAAAACCAAGATCATCCTCATCCGATGTGAGAGCGATGTCTTCGTCCTCTCCGGCACCATGGCTAGTGGAGATCTCCTGGGAGTGTGCCGATTGAGCATCAAGTTCCGCCATGAGAATATCACCGTCAGCATCACTCTCAGCATCGCTCGCAGCAGAACCGGAATTACGACGCTGTCGCTTCGATTTTGCGGCCGCAGATGTGCCAGTATCGCTAGTTCGCTTACGGGCAGCAGACTTCTTCCCTTTGCCCTTGATTGATGGTTCAATAGTTCCAGTGAGCATGGCCTTCTTGACTTCCTTTGCCTGTTTATTTCGTCGCTCTTCTTCGAGACGGAAGAACTCTTTGTCAGCTTCTTCGTCCGTTTCTTCATCGCTGGCGTGAATGAACAGATCACTCTTGATCTTCGCCTGGCGAGAGAGTGCGTTGGATAGACGCGCCTCGCGCCGCGCTTCTAGGGTTTCGTCGTCCAGCGGCTCACTCTCGGTGTTGCTCTTCTGTTTCTTCTTGCGCTTCTTTTTGAGTTCATCCAGCGCACTAGACTTTGACCGCAGATTCGCAGGGAATAGAGGACCATCTGGAATTTCCTCACCTTCAGACTCCGATCCGAAGTTGACATCAAGCGTGCCTTGAATCATATTGCCACGACCGATTCCTTTGTTCTTTGGTTGGATCTGTTTGCGAGGATCATCATCCCCATCTGCAGAGAATGGGGTTTGGAGGGCTTTCAAAATTTCAGAAATTGTTTCACGCAGGTCGTCGGACTTGAGAGAGGCTGGAACGACCCAAGAGGCACCAAGCACATCTTCAACGCCGAGTCGCTCGAATCCGACGATGTTCATAAGCAGACGTAGCCTTCCGTTCGTGAACATGGCATTTTGAACAAACTCGTCCTTGCCTTTGACAGCTGTTCTGCTATTAGTATCAACTGAGAACCAGGGTGTTGGGGGAACATACTAATCATCGGATTGGGGACGCTGACAGTCTCGGGGTTTTCGGCGCGGCGGACTTCTTCTTGGGTTTCCCAGTCCTCTCTTTCGGAGGCCGCGGAGCTCAAGACATCCTTGATCCATTTTACCAGATCTGCTCTACCATCGAGAACAAGAGCGCCAACCACGATGTGGAGTTTCGCTTCCTTTGTTGTCGCTTCCGTCGATGTAATTACAAGCTCCGGCGGGGCGCGCTTATAAGAGAACATCGTTTGCTTTTCGTGTCCATATTCAAGGTAGTAGACAGTGGAGTTGATCTTGCTGAACAGCAGTTCAGTGATCAAGGCTGGGCGCTGGTCAATCTTCTTCACCAGTCGTCGAATGATTTGCCGGACCAATTCCTCCCATTCTTTAAATACAGACTTGCTCGAGTCCATGGGGCCTGGGCCTTTGATCATTCGATAGAAAAGACTGATAATATCTACACGGAACAGCAAAACAGTCATCTCCTGCTTGAATGCAATCCGGTAGAAATAGCGATGCGCGCGTTTAAGCTGCTCAGGGTTAAGCTCTCGGTAGAATCCTGTGAATGTGATAAATGTATCCACGCAGCTTTGGTTGCAGAACTTGGCGGAGAAGCGCTTGAAGTCAAAGCTGCGTTCCTTGGTGACCTGGGCGGCTTCCTCCATGTCTTCGTCTTCAGAGTCAGGATCCTCATCGTCATTCCCTTCCTCTTGCTCGGCGGCTTGAGCAGCCTTCTTTTGTTTTCTTTTAGCCTTTCGCCGCGAGCGGATTTGCATGTCAGCGTTGTCTTTGGAATATCGTTCCAACATACGCAGAAACACATGTGCTAACTCTGTGCATGCATCCAAATATCCAAACCCTTGGTCTTTGTATCCGCGCACAATAGCAAGGATCCGGTCATGGGTTGTTTCTTCGTAGAAGATTCGGTTTTGGATATTCTCCGCAATTTCCTGATCTTCTTCGACCGGGGATGCTGCCATTTCCTGGACAGTCAACAGAATCTGGGTGAAGCAGCGCATCTGGGCATTGAGATCTTCCCATTCCTTATTATCAAGGCTACTCTGCATAGCCCGGTTCAGGGAAATGAAGGTCTCTTGGTTCAGGACGCCAGCAACCAGACCGTAGCTATCGGGCTCAATATCTTTAGTTCTTCCTCCATTCTGAGCCGTGCGATGGCGGAGCTGTCGAGTCCGTCGTACACGCTCTGCTTCCAAAAACCAACCGACTGTGTAGAAGAACTGGCGAGTATTGATGTCTACCACACGCTCGGCTTCGCGCTCGATTGCTTTTCGCACATGGGTGAATAGAGGATTGAACCCGGAATCCAAAAACTCCTCCACGAAAGTCCTCAGGTTCTTTGTGGCCTCGGAATTAAGGTGAGCCGGCATGTTGAAGTTATTGTATTGGACCGCATCTTCTTGTCTGCGACGAGGTCGAGGCTTATTCCACTTTTTGCTCTCGTCCATCTTTTGTAGTGTGGTCTGGTCGTCGCGCAACACGCCTTGTCCAGAGACAGTAGACACCTTCGCATCATCTCGCTTGACCCAGATCATTGTACCAAATCTTCCATGGCGGGTAGGCGCATTCTTTGCGTATTCCCTTCGTACCAATGATTCCTTTTTCAATAGATCGCTGAGTTCGTCGGTTCGCTTGGCCGTTCTCTGCTCATCGTCCATGAACAACTTCTCGACGTTGACACCCTTGACGATATGGAAAAGTATCTCCATTAGAGGAATATCTTGAAGGTTGAAGTCTTCGCCGACATTAGAGCACATTGTCAAGAGAAGTGCAAATGCATCTTGCTCGTGGAAGGCATTGATTGTCGCCGATCTGGACGTCTCCTCCTCTTCGCCTTCTGCCGCAAGTCGGGTATTAGGGGATATAATCGCAATGTTTCGCAGCAAGTACAACATCAACTTGAGGATTCCTTCATCTCGGGTTCCACGTTCGGATCGAGGGACCGCCATGCTTGGAAGAGCAATTCGAATGACTGCGCGAAGAAGATTCAAACCCCCGGACCTGATGATACCTCGCTTGTATTGCACCTGTGTCTGTTGGATGTAGGGTGTATGGCGATGGTGATTGACCGTCATCTGACTGTGAAACTCCACAGGCCATGTTAAGGGAACGAGAAGCTCCAAGCACGCCAGTGCGATCCTGGTCATATGCTTGCTGTTCTGTCCAGTAGCCCACCAGAGGGAGAGAATCGGAAGCAGATCACCATTGATCACGTTGGCCTCTCCAAGGCATCGCGCGACATCCATTCGGTTATTCTTTTCATCGTACAGTTTCAACCAGCGTTTGATGTCGCGTAAACATGCCAGCGCATCGTCTCCGAGCACGTATTGGTCGGCATTTTCGCCATTAAACCCTCCGAGCTAGATAACCAGGCGTATCAGTGAATTGATTCAGAGCCAGGCAAAGGAGAAAATAAAAGTGGACTTACAGCAGTCACCAGGCTGTAAACATAATTGCGCACATCT